TTAGGAGAAGGAGAAGCTTTTGAATGCTGTTGTGACATCTGCAACAATGCTGTCATAAACCATATCAATGAAAGAGTGCCAGATCAAAAACCTGGTTTACATAACATTAAACTAAAAACAGAACACAATTCAGAGATGGGTGCTCATTCCACTCAAAAAAAGCCTTTTAGAGAGGAATATCAAGGGATCTTTTACTGGACACTGAAAAAAACACTTTAACTGAGTGAGTCTTTCAATCCTTTTCCCAGGCTGAGCTCTCTCGGCGGCTGACTGATTTCCTGCTCTGACAGCAGGAACCTGTCTGTGTTTTCACACTGGATGGTCAGGTCTGCAGCAGGCCATGCTCCAGCCCATTCAGTCTGTCAGACGAGGATGCTGGCTGGCCTGTGTGAGAATATATATTTGTAGGTGCTGTGTAAGATAAAGCTATTGCCTCGTGGCACTTTGATCCTGATTCGATGATGGACTGGGCTGCCTTCTTTGTGCATTAACCTTGCATTGGCTAGGTTAATTGGTGCCCCTAAATTGTTCTTGTGTGAGTAAGTGTGTGCCCTGTGATTCCTGTATAGACAGGCATACTGTCCAGGGTTCGGACCTGCCTTGTGCCTTACTCCTCCAGCACAGGCTCAGGGTACCCACAGCCCTCACCAGGAATAAGCAGCTTTCTGATAAGGGATGTATTTTTAATGCTGTTTGTCCTTCGCAATCATTCTTTAGTTTTTTTTTCTACTAGAACAAAGACAAACTCCTCCTCAGATAAACTGCATAAATGGGCTTCGTGCAGCCTCTTAAAGGGGAGCTGCAGTCCCAACTTCTCGGACCGGTTGTTAAATCTCGGTAACAAAATAAATGTATTGACATTATTAAAACAAACTTCACAAATTTTGAATTAAGCGCACAAATGTGAGCTTTGTGATGGTACTGCAAGTCACCATGTTGTCGCACACTGCTGGTCTCACCATGGGTAAGAGCAAGAGTTTGTAAAATTTGTGACTTAAACCACCCCTTCCTGCTCACTATTCACTATAATGATGAATATAATGCAATATACGAGTGAATAAGTACAGGGTGTGCAGCAGACATTTTACCACAGAAACATTCCAACGTGCTCTGCATGCAGAGTAAGTAGTATTTGTTGGCAAAACCATCTCAGAATCGAGATCAATATTTCAATTGGATTAAAACGGATGTATTCACAAGCCTGCTTCTTTATAGAGGAGCAGGACTGCTTCACATCGCTGGATGTTTTGTTGCCTCGTTCTGAATTGCAGAACATGGCGCTGCGCATACCTGGACATTTTGTCATGTAAATTGGTAACTGTGTACCTTGTACTTTCGTTGTGGTTTGAAAAACAGTCATCAATGCTGAATCTTTCTAATCACGAAATATAAAAATAGCGTTGCAGTTCCCCTATAAACAGCGCTCAAATTCAGAGCCTCATTTCTGGGAAAGTCCATTTGATTTTCTGTCTAGAACTGCAGCCATTTTCACATTGCAGACTGAAGCCTGCAATTGGCTCTGACGCAATGCTGCTGGTCTGTCAGCCTAATGGGTAAGTGGGTAGGCTCTGACATTCCCACCAGGCAAGGTTAAGTAGATGAGTGGGAGTGCGCTTCAACTCAAGAGCTTGATTTGCTCGAATGAAGAGAACACAGCGTACCCGCCTGCAGTTAACTGACTGAGCAGAGAACACTGGCTTCTCTTTACCCCAATTATAATCAGCACATGGCACTGTTTCCTGTGCAGATTTATGGTGTTAAGGACCAGTGTTATTCTACCCATCACAATAAGCCTTTGCTATACTGCACAATACTGTTGCATTGGTGTCTGTGAGATACACTGAAGGACAACCTGCTCCCAGCTGTACTTACGTGAATCTTAAAAAGCAGAGAGTGTTCAACGGTCATTTTGGATCAAGGAAGCTCAGAATTTACCAGGCCTGATCATGGATCATATTCCTTATTACATAGATCACATATTCAGGAGCCCTAACCCAATTTCTTTCCATAATGATTGGGTGGATCAAGCTTGTTGTATGGAATAAGGAGTATTTTGCAAGTGACAGTGTTATTACAGTATGTGCAGAAGGTAGATTCTGTATTTCAGTATTCAGTAAATGGTAAATAATGCCAGAGGTGCTTTGTAGCCTGTTTTCAGATTGTTCTCCCCCACGCAGCCCAAATTAAAAAACTTGAAAAGCTGAAAACACTTTATCCACTTTTATGTTACCATTAGGGCCATTCAGAGCCTGCTCTCAGTTTAGCGACCAAAACTGGCAAAGCATGGATTGAATATCCTGTTCTTTGCGAAGAAACAGGTCTGCACTTGCTCCCTAATGAAGAGGTCTAAGGGAAGAAGCCTGAGCTAAGAGACAAGCCCCTCTTGCCATGCCGATTCAATGCTGCAATTTACTCAATTCAGAGCTGTTCAGTCCATGAATTCAACATTTAGTGGAAGCACGATTGTGGCGATTACAGCCGCATGTCTTTATCAAAGTTACACACTGGCTTGGTGCGATGCGCATTATTCTTGTCAGTTATGCTCAAGTGCTCTCTTACCAGGATCACTTATGGACAGTGGTTTTCCAGTCTTCCCACAGACTCTCAACAGGCTTCAAGTCAGGACATGCCCTGGGCCAGTCAAGGGCATTCACTTTCTTATTTTTAATAAACCTCTCCAGTGTGGATTTTGTCTTCTGCTTTGCATCATGGTTCTGCTGAAGAGTGAATTTTCTCCCCAGTTTTGAGTGTCCAGCTGACTGAAACAGGTTTTCCCCTAGTACTTGCCTTGACTTCACTCTGCCTGTTTTTAATTCAGTCCTAACGAGCTTTCCAGTCCCCCATTAAGAAGAACCCCTGTAGCATGATCCTGCCATCACCGTGCCTGACCGCAGGGATGGTGTTGACTGGGTCTGGGCCAAAAGTAACACGTGACATTTAGACCAGAATGTGCCAGTCTGGGCTCGGGTTGAATATTTGCTTGAAATTACCTGACCAAGATAACTCACAGAGACAGTAATTTGTATTGTGAAATCCTGAGAACAACTATTTTTGCACATACTAATGTAGTCTTGCGACAGCAAAGGAGGTGACTACTTATGAAATTAAAACTTCCCCATTTTCCTTTCACATGATCTTTTTGCTCTGAAGGTGTAGAGTAGGTTGCATACAAAAAAAAGAATTGCTATTTCACAGTGTCATGACTGAAGACTGAAAGGCCCTGTAATTATCAGAGGAGCACAGGGATCTGTAAAAGGATCACTTTCCTATCTTATCAATGATCTAGATTCTGGAACATGTAGATGATACCAAAACAGGGGGATGAGCTGTTCTCCTCATATAACCTGCAAAGAACTTCCCATAATATTTAGACCAAATTTAAAACTGGAGGAACCCAACAGATATTTAAAGTGCAGTGTGTTATATGGAGGTAGCAAACAGACACAAAATGCAAAACACTGATTTTGAAGCCCTTGAAAGACCTAGGTGTTCACATTTTGATCTTCTAGACAATATACAGTAAGCAATAAAAAAGACAATGTTTGGATTTATATTTTAAAACATAATTTAAATGAAATAAAAATATCCGACAAGCTAAAACAGCTAAATCTTTTTAGAGATAAGAGTGGGGAGTTACAGAAGTCCAGGTAGAACTCCACACCGAAAAGTCAAATTATGAAAAAAACACATGAAATATTTGTAACCTTAAACAGAGACTGAACTATGAGGGACCAAATCCTAGGGTTTGGTCCCTCATAGTTCAGTCTCTGTTTAAGGTTTTCCTTAAAGTAAACCTTAAAGTAGGGTTTTCCAAACCCTTGAGGGCAAGCACCAAGTCAGCTTTCTGATCTACAGAACCCATTGTGAGTGGTGAACTGGAATACACCGGCAGAAAATAAGGAGAACATATAAGGATTTCCTGTAGTACAGGATGCACTTCTTTTCAAAGTTCTGGGAGACTGGAAAAAGCTACCCAGCCATGTCAACAAAGCTTTTAATAGTTTTTGATAAAGTTTTGCAAAAAAGATTGATTTCTAAATCACAGGTGGTAAGCATTTGAGGAAATGCATGAGTTAAGGATTTAGAACTGGTTAAGGAATAAAAATCGGAGACTACAGATATGGGCTGATAGCTCAAAGAGGGGTGATGTAATTAGTGGAGTACCACAGGGATCAGTATGAGGAGCATTGGTCCTCCTAATTTAATTAAATTAATTAAGTTCTGGTATAGTTTGTAAACTAATCAAAACTGGAGGATTAGCACTAAATGCTGCAAGGAAACTCAAAAGCACTCAAATTCAGGGCAGGGCAATCTTATAAAAACCACAATTTAAAATTGAAAACACTGAGCTTGAAGATGGCACTTACATGAATGATGGAAAACAAGTTCAGAGTATATAAACTCATGTAATTAAAAGTTAGGGTTGCCATGGTAAAATTGTACAGTGTATGGTGTACAGCTCTGGTCAACACATTTTTAAAGACAGCCGCTCTGGAATCATCCTAATGAAGAGCAACCAGATACATCCTTAGACTCAAGGGATTGTCCTACCTTGAGAGGATGAAGGAACTGAACGTTTTTGGCCTTGAATGCACAAGACTATGAAGAGACCTGATATTCAGAACTAATGAATATTAATATTCCAATAGAATCAGAGACTCAAACCCCAGTGTAACACAAACCAGAAGTCACAAGTGACAAAAAACATGGAAGTGCATTTCAGTACAGAAAGAGTGTCCTTTTACAAAGGGCTGTGGGAGTCTGGAGCAATCTACCCAGACATGTGGTTGAACCAAAAACCTTGGTTCAATTAGCTACTAGCAACCAAATGGGCTGGATGGGCTACATTACCAACATTTACTTCTGTTCTTTACAAACTATGTACTCCTTGATCCTGTAGCTTAGGATTTCAAAGCGGTGTGCAGAAAGTGTTATTATGTTACTGCTCATTTGCACAGATAAAAACACAGCTTATGCTGGCGCAAAATCAAGCAAGAGACTTCGGCATCTTGCTTCATTTTATTTACAATTGCTCATTCAGCACATCGTGGATGAAAATACATCCCATAAAATAAAAATGCAGACATTTATAGTAAATATAACTGCTGCTTGTAGCAAAGTTTCCTTGAGGGGAGTTTCATCCAAGACACAAAGTTAACTACTGTTTAAACAATTTAAGCTATGTACATTTATCTTACCATTGACCTGATCCTTTTATTACAATTTACAAGAAACAGACATTGCAGAGGAACACTTCAGCTGGCAATTAACAAATAGACAGATAGCGCATAATTTAATGCAATTAAATAGTGAGCTCTCATTAAATCAAATGAACCAAAACGCAGTAAAACAACTGCAACTCTAAAGATGTTTAATGGCTGTTATACAGCACTCCTGTAACCTGTTAAGGATGACTAAGCAGTCTAAGTGTCAATGCATCCATCAAAACTTCACAGTTGGAATGATACTCCAACATGACAGTATGGTTAAGAAATACGTAAGCTTAAGCCTAAATTAAAAATGATACAAATAAAGCCCCCCTCTACCCCCAAAGAGACCCTTCTTCTCAAAAGCTTTGTCCTAAAAATACTATAATTCACTACACATTACATGGGCTATGTTGTATACATGATGCAGTGCCACAGGAGATGGAAAAAAAGTAAATGCATAACAATTAAGGAAAAATATTTTATGGCAAATTGTTGTCTGTCATCAAAACACGCAGCTACAGGAAAAAACAATGTGATCTACACCATACAAACAGAACCAGCCCCATGACTTGTACACAACAGGATCCTCTTGAAATTAGCCTTCTCCTGCACATCTAAAACATACTTGTTTACAAGTTACAATATCTTACTTTTCAGAAGGGAAGCACGCTTATCAGAGAAGACCGTGAACACTTTAGCAAATTACAACAGACGTTCAGTACCAAGTACATGAAGTAATATACAGACGCACTTCTTCCAACACACATGCCAGCAATCTCAGGTCCCCACCTGTCCCTGTCAGCGAAGGAAAGGGGGAGGGCATAAATTCGAGTGAGATGTGCGTGTCGGCTGTAATCCTGTCTGAGCGAGTCCCCATGTGCAGAGAGCACTGGGGCATCAGTCTGTGTGCTCAGGACAATCACGGACACTGTAGCTCTCCGCTCTGTGGCTCCTCGGGGGTCCTGCTGTCCGTGGAGCTGGGCGACTCGCCTGGAGAACTAGGACCGTCAGTCTTCTGTCTCTTTGACTCAGGGGGCTGGCAGCTTGGGTCTGTAGGAGGGGAGGGTCTCTCTGTAACAGGAGAAAATTCCATATCACCAGCGGTGTAAAAAAGCCTGGCCCTGAATATACAGTTGCAAGAGCAAGTTTTATTAGTACAGATCATAAATTAGGTCAGTTCACTGCCACTTGCTTGAGTGAGAATTCAATTACTAGGAAAACAAGTCAGTAGAGTTTTAGCTCGAAATTATTTCACATGAACATGAAGGCTACAAATGAGAGAAGGCCATTTGTCCTGTCTTGTCATTTGGTAGTTAGTAGTTCAATGATCTAAAAATCTCACTCAGACATTTTTTTGTAAGAAGCCAGAGCATCGGTTCCAAACTCCCATAACCCTTAGAGTTAATTTGGGTTAATGTGGCATAGCTCTTGGCCCTAGGTTTCATTTTGGGCTGCGGTGCATTTTGTGTGGAATCTGCATGTTCTCAGGTATCTGTGCATGATGGACAGATGGTGCTGTGGACACCCACATTACTCCATGTGCTTGCTAGATGGGGCTCCAGCTCATTGAGATCCTCTACAGATGACGCGGTTTTGCAAGAGGATGAAAATTAGTGAATAACCTTGCTCCAGGAACAGGACTCCGATAATTACATCAGCATGCATGTTTTGTTGCAGCCAGACATTTTGGCAGCCTGCAGATTTCTATGGCTTTGGAGACAGTACCAGACATATTTTCACACCTGTCTGAACAGTCTTTTTTTACCGGAAATCTTTATGACTATTTGCTAGGATAAATGTTAAAAAAGATATCAAGGAAAAATTAGAACTGAAAAATATGCACTGAAGCGAAGCTATTCTGTAGCATTAAACTAACAATGAGCTCACAGGGAAATGAGACTGAAGGACCGGACAGTGCCTGAGGAACTGTGCCCGTCCTTCCAGTCTTGGGCTCAGAGGAACTGTGCCCGTCCTTCCAGTCTTGGGCTCAGAGGAACTGTGCCCGTCCTTCCAGTCTTGGGCTTTCGTTTTGCAGTCAGATGGGAATCAGCTGGTGTGACAGCACAGATCTCACAGAAGGCCTGAATGATTACTAACCATGTTTTGCTTTTTCTGTAGAAGACGGTGTAGAAATCAAGGATCTAGACAGGGCAGGTGACCCACTTGTGACAGGAGTCAAAGAGATCCGCCTGCACAAAGAACAATAAACAAAATTAAAAGGTCATCAGTAAAAACAATCTTCCTCTTTCTACACACTGCTGTAAACCCCATTGAGCAGTGTCCACCCAGCACCCAGTGTTATAGAGAATGAGAACCTTTTCACACTTTATACTTTTGCATCATATTAATTTTTTAAAAATGTTTTCAACAATCCAAAGGAGCAAGACTTCAGCTTATACACTTAAAGTTAACTACAACTACTACTATTTTTGCAATGTGTTTCTCTAAGTTTAACACCTTTAAAACACCTTGAGCAACCTGCTCAAAAGTCAGGTGAAAAGAAGACAACAGGTGCAACACCACAAAGAACCACAGTACTAGTAACGCAATGGTGCAGAAGATATTGCCCCAGAATTACAGGCCATGAATCCGATCGCTCAGGGGCTTCGGTCTTAGCGCTTCCTTTACAAGTCTTTGTTCTGGCTGACACTTTGTTTCAGTCATCTTCCGCAACACAACCTCCAGACTGAAACTGAAGGTCTGGGTCAAATCCTAGTGGTGGATCCAGAGGGAAAGTGCTCCCTGTCCTACCTGGGCTTGGGGCCTGCCGGGGCGCTGGGCTTGCTCCAGGCCTCCAGGGTGTTGAGAGTAATCCTTCTGGGCTGGATGGCTTTCAGGGGCTGGACTCCTGTCTGGGCGGACTTCCTGTCCTCACAGACGGGGGTGGCGCACGAGCCCAGGGGGGAGGAGGAGGGGATTTCTTTGCTAGCTGACTTTTCCAGCAGCGAGCCTGGTGTGGTGGCCTCCCCATTCCGGCTCCCCACTGGGCTGGCGTCCACAAACTTGGGCACGGGAGAAGACGTGCGCGCCGCTTTCTTTGTCTTCTTCTCTGCCGCCATCCCCGGGGTCTGGACTTCCAGCACGGGCTTCTCCTTCAGAGGGGTCCCCAGCTCGCCGCTCTCGAACGTCACGAAGGAACAGTAGCCGTCTGTCGAGGAGACGGCCAAGAAAGAGGCATCCTTGGACCTGAACGAGGAGAAAAGTAACTTATGCCTTCACTCCAAGTCACAGAACAATTACAATAAAGTCCTCAGTTAGACAATTACCGTATACAGCCGGCCCTGAGGGCCAGCTTCAGAGCAGACCATCACCTGTTTCCCACTGACACGGCCAGTCAATGTCAGAGGAGCGAGCAGAGTCAAGAAGAAGACATCACCCACTCCAATGATCTGCCATTGGCTGATTGCTGCAATACCGTTGGTCTTTTTTTTTATTTTGAAGTCTGTATTTTGCCTTATTTTCTTTTAATTACAGCTTCATTTTGCTGCTCTTTGAGGGTTTAATGATGCTGTCAGCATGCATCCTTGACAAAGAGAACCATGACCGGGCTGAAAATCTCATTATCACTTCCCATATCAGGCTTCAGATACCAGCAAAACAAAGCTGGCTGTTGTCATGAACATGGCTTTCGTGTGTATCCTGGCAATGCTGTAACTGTTTGCAATCTGCATCATAGAGAGCCTGCACCTTAACCTTTTGGTTTCCTAAATACTTCTTCACAGAGATTAGAAATGTTGGGCACAGCTCATTATTTCTAAAACAATAGGAAACCCCAGCCTTAAAACTGAAACCACCTTCAAGCTGGAACTTGAGTACTCATTTGTGCAATACTTTCTGACACATTACAAACAATCGTCATTAATATTGTTTGGAAACATCTAGCTGCACAGGACTGTGATGCTGTAATCACCTGAAGACAAGGTGGCAGAGCACAATTCTTACCACTCCCAGGCTTTTAATTTAGGCCACTGCTTTTTCACGAGCAAAAATGTTTTCACATGTCGAAAAATGATTACCTGAAAATTGCCTGTCACCATAAAATTCAAAACTGATTCATCTCTGAATTTATTCTTTCACCTTTCTTGTAGCTCAGCCTTACAGAATGAGCCCTGTATGCCATTATTATCCATCTTAAAGGGATATGAACTAAACTTGAAGTTAAATATCTCCTGCAAAGGATGAGTTTTAATTCTGGATTCAGAAAAATCATTAAACTTAAATTAACTGCAAGCAATGATTAAAAACACAATGCAATATAAACTTTCCTTCTACATAATTAAAAAGTATAATTTGGTTGAATGTAGTCATTAATCCACAGTATAATTTGCTGAAATGTGAGACACATATTACTGCAATCCTTAGAAACTTCAACCCTCTCAGATTTTTTTCAAGGCATTGACTCAATTTCTAATAATGAGCAGCAGTGTGCTGCTCACCTTTACAAGAGCTTCTCTGCCTAGACAGTACTGTGCTCCTTCCAATTCTGAACCAAACAAATAGGGAAGTGAAGCACTGATTTTTCTCATACCGTTTTTTGATTAAAAGTAATCAGAAGACCGTCCTTAATTCTCCATGCGTTAACCAAGTATAAAGTAGACAATTAAGGGTAAGTGGGTAAACTTTTAAAATAAGGAAAGTTGTGTTACACAACTGTTTTAAGAAACCATACACACTCAAAGACTGTTCTCTTAGGTAGCTAAATCAACAAAAAGATTTATGTTAAGGTTCTAAAACAGAAGAAATATCTCCCTCAATGAACAATGAGATTGCAAATTATAAGAACAGCAATTATAGTATAGCCTGCTCCTGACATTGCTTTTCTACTAACATTACTGCTAAAATGCAGAGTTAACTTTAAACAATGGATTCAATTATTCTATATGCTGAAGAAAAACAGTTGAAAATAGAAAAAAAGGTAGAACACCCCTAAAACTGACTAGAATTCAAACCTGTCGCAGGAAAGGGTTGGCGAAGCATCTCAAATTTAACACAACAAGGTTATATGGGCTCAGTGGCTCACAGGCTACTTTCAGAGTTGGGGCTGCAAAATGAGGCTTCTTACATTGCAGTCTGCTGTAGACCTGACCTGGAACTCACCATGTGACATCACTGAGCGTGTGGTAGTGGATGTTGGAGATGTACCCGAAGGGGATGGACTGCTGGGTGTCATACAGGAAGACCGAGTCCTCGGAGGCAACAGCAAACACCAACCGGTACGGCAGTTTAAACACATTATGCACAACCTGTGAGGACCCATCTGAAAGACAAAGAAGGCCAGGACGGTCACAAATGAGCAGAGGCCATTCAACCCATCCAGCTTGTTTGGTTGATTGTAGTTAATTGACTTGAAGTGCTCACAACGCTTCTTGAAAGAAGCCAGGTTACGATCCATAACGAGGCTGAATATCATGTTACAAGAACACTGTGCATAAAAAAGCCTGAAAGAACAATGTCTCCATAAATGCAACACAACCTTAGCGCTCTTTGGGTTTGTATGCGATTTATGGGAATCGGTCTGATCTTGCTTAGACCACCTACACACCTGAATATGCCTGGGAGTTGCAATAAGGGATGATTTACTCTGCGATTCATTGGACATGAACTGCAGTGGCTTGGGAGAAAACTACGGTCACTTCCCAACAGGTGAATGGGCATTCACCAACCAACACAACACAAATATTTAAATGGGAAGACCTTCAAGATTGACAGCACCTCGGCTGAGACAATAGGAGGTCCAGTAAGAGACAGGCAAGACCACCCCATACTGAAGAGGAATTCTCAAGGCCAGACAGCATTCCCAAAGAAAGACCCCGACACCCGTTCTTCCAGAAATCACGTTAAGAGATTTTATGATATGATTTTCATCGCTTGACAATGTCACACAGGCTTGTTTTTGTTACCCGGAAGGTCTCTGAAATGCATCTATAAGGCCACAGGCCATCATATTTTCATGATTTCAAATTAGGAAAACCCATGAAAACATGTAGACTAACCCTTTTCTTTTCAATCTCTTTAAAAGGAAACAAGTACAGCATCATTTTCCAGCTCAGGTTAATCAATGAAAACAGAGCAGCTCAGAAAGCAGCTGCATTATAGCGTTGCAAAAACAGCCACTTTTTGCTTTTGGTTCTGGGCTGTGTACAAGCTACCAGCAGTGGTCAGCATTGAGGTTTGACCTTTCACAGCACCTTCGGCCTTGGAGGTCCTCAGCTCAAAGTAGACAGGACAGCAGCGTACGGCCAAGGTGGCTTTAGCAGGGCAGGGCAGGTGAGCGATGGGCCTGAAAGAGAAGAGGTCACACTGTGCTGAGGACAACAGCACACAGTACGGCACAAGCTCATTATGTAATGCACTATTGTTGCACCATGGTATATTACTTTATTAGCCTACCCCAATCATTACAGTTACAAACTAGAGGAGGAAATGTGCCCCCTCTGGCCTATTAGTCCGCAGTTAATTGATCCAGTGATCTCATCCAGGTGGATCTCGGGAGAACCCAGGGTAGCAGCTTCAACAACATGGCTGGGCAGCTTGTTCCACACCCCCACACCCTTTGGGTAAAGGAATGCAGTTTTGTTCTGCGCAGTTTCCACCTGTGTCCTCTGGCTCATGTTTTTCTGCCCGTTCTCAAGAAGCCTGCTGGGTTGACTTTGTCAAGACCTCTGAGGGCTTTTCATTAATTGTATCAGGTCACCTGGTGAATTTTTCCGCTTACATAGTTTGATTTTAAAAGGGTCACTGTAAGACAAATTTAACCAACTACAGAAACATTAGTATTTCGCATGAAGATCTGTTCAGAGTTTTGTAATTCTAACTTTTATCTTTATTTTGCCTCTACAGGCTTAAGCATGTCTCCATTTTATGGCTACGCAACCGTTGCCATTCCATAAGAACTCACATGAATTAAAATGAACTTTATGAGGATCATTCAAAAAGCCTTTATCTCAAATCAGCTTCTGCCTTGGTTTGTAAATACCTTAGCTGCTGTATATTAGTACAGTGTTTTTAACCATTATATTGGGTAAAACGAGAATAAATCCACAAAACTGAAAATAATGTCAGAATTGCTCAGGGCTGCACCTTTATTGGAATACAGATACTAAGCTTGGCAAAAAAACTGAGAAGCTATTATAGTTGTACCTATAAAACTATAAAAGTTTCACATTCAGAAAAAAAAGACTCAATATGCAAGAAATCATATTCAACTTAAATCCTGTTTTTGAACTGTAGGTTAGGTCTTGCCTGTATGAATTTACACTGAACAATGGCTGAAACAAGTGAAAGCAAAAAAATAAATAATTCAGAACAGTATTTTGAACATAAAGAAGCTGTATGCAGCTCTATACACTATATTGTTCTAAACCCTTTTGGCACAATAAAGGGAAGATGTTTATAAAGAGTAATATGAACCCTGGAAGTTGTCATGGAAGCTCAAGAAATTTGACTGAAGTCTTCAAAATCAGCCTCAGACAGAACAATCAACTCACAACTAGACAAATTTAAAACTCTTGCTTAATTTAAGTGTCTTCGGTGTTTGTTTTGATAAAGCACAATCCAGTATTCCGTAAAACACTTGGAAGTGTAATTTGAAAGCTCTTGCAAAACTACCCGAAGTGTGTTCCGACTGGGCTTGAAATCTTACCTTTTCAAATTTTTCCTGGAGAACACATATGTTGTATTTGTGACATTTTCTCCAGCTTCAACACACCCAGCTGTACAAGGAGACGTTCACAGTTGGTAAATGAATGGAACATGATTTTTTTCAGCTGCTCTACTTATTTTTCATCTATAACTACTCAGTCATGCTTAAAATACGGGAACTTTAATCTTTTTACCCTGGAACAGAGAAAATTACAGTCACTCAATCCATGTACTGAAAATCCTGAACGATTCTGACAAACATATGTTTTGTGCTCTACAGAGAAACACTGATAAATCTGAAGCATCATGGAACAACTATACCTACAGAGGTTGCATTTACTTGAATGCATTCTAACTTGTCATATTATCAGCACTTTGAACAGATTTGTGAGCAACTATACATTTTCAGGCAGAAACACAGGTATTTCATCAGATTAGACTAGTAAATGCCATTATATTAACTGGCCCCCAGGTCTCCATTACAGGTCCACTGTAATGGAGAATCTTAATGATCTGGTTAAATAACGGATTAAAAGAGGAGATGTTACCTCTTCAGGATTCAGAAGTTTGGACAGACACCAGCAGTTTCACTGATTCTGTACATAAAGTACATGTCTGTGCAAGTCCTTTTGTACAATTGTTTCTTATTAAATTATACAGTCAGCAGAGCCAGGAAAAAGCAATGTAATTATTATTAAAACACCAATGATGACCATGTTCATACCTGGAGCGAGCAGTAAAGATCCGTCCGTTGTGAAAGAGAGTCGGCGGAAGAAAGATCTCATGCTGTCGTCATGGAACATTCTGTAACTCTTTCCCTGCACATCACACACATGGAATTAAACTGAGATGAGCTGTATGAAGCCTCTTACAATGAGCGACCACATTCTCAAAACATGCTCTCAAAGTCCACACTGTTTTAGGAGTAGTTCATTACAAGTTCTGCATCAAAGGAACTTGCCCCATTCCCAAGAGACCTGACTATATAAATGACATGTTGTCTGGCTCTCATTTAAAGTGCAGGAACCAGACTGATTTATTTAAAGTACTACACTGGCGATAGAAGTTTTATAAATCTGGGAATTACAGATTCCTCAATTTAAATTAAGCACTTTAATTTGTTTTTTCTCGATATTACCAATGCACACAGTTATGAAAGATAAAAAACAGTAAATATGTTAAATGACTAATTAACAATTTGTTAAAAGACGACACTAACAGCATGCCCCATGTACAGAGTTCCATTAATACTGAGATCTAGATGTGCTAGGCCATCTTGAACCTATTCGCATACATTTAGGAAACGTAGAGATGTTATTCATAAACAAATGCTAGGATATTTCACCTCTCACTTTTAACTGGAGACATTGGAGCATTCTAGACCAATTAATAAAAAGGGAGACAAATCCAAACCTGAAAACCACAGACCCAATCAGTCTAAAATCTTAGAGGTAAAGTTATGGAAATTACAGTTCGAGCTAAACTAGAAGAATATTTGCAAATGAGTTGCATGTTAACAGACATTGTTTAAAACTAAAGCACGACATGTGATAGCCAGAAAGCTGTTGACAATGTCTCCCATAAAAAACTGATTGTCAAATCCAAAACCAAAGAAGTCAAAGATCTGTGTATATGGATTGAGAACAGGGTAACAGGCAACGGCAGATGGAAACAGGTGGCTCATTGCTCTTTCTAAACTTTCCCAATGAGCTCTACTGTGGTTACCAACTAGATAATGTGCAGGTAATGTCAAACATATAGAATAAACGACAGTAATGGAATGACTTAGATAACTGGAGAAGACACTTGGTAAATGAAATTTAACACTGATTAAGCACAAAAATTCCACTCAGGCTTTAGTAACATTCACTATAACAAGAGGGTCAAGTTCATTTAACATAGCGAGTCAGATTCAATTAAAATGTTCTTCAAATGGGACAAACATTTAAATAATTTGGGCAGAGCGGTGGCTCTGTGACTAAGGATCTGCGCCTGTGGCTGGAAGGTTGCCACTTCAAATCCCGCAGCTGACAGAGGAATCCTGCTCCATTGGGCCCCTGAGCAAGGCCCTTAACCCCAACTGCTCCAGGGGCGCTGTATAAATGACTGACCCCAAGCTTCCCTGTCTGTGTGTCTCATGGACAGCATGTTGGGGACAGCAAAAAGAAATTCCTAATGCAAAAAATTGTATATGGCTAATAAAGTGATCTTAAATAAGACATTCAAAAATATAGCTAACATACATAATTCATGGAAATTCTAGGCACAACCACTCAATAGAATGTTGTGTAGCATTTGTTGTTTATTCTATTTATTTATTTAAAGCACTATTAGCCACTGTCCTCACTGGATCCCAATTTAGTGGGGTTTTTTTTTTACCATCAATAGCTACATTTATTTAAAATATAGCTGTGATTATTGTACAGTGCATATGTGTTCTCCTAAAAAGAATATTGCTGGGATCTCACGTTCAACAACTGGCAAACATTAACGTGCAACCATTTGTGTGTATCCATTGGTAAAGTGCAGGACTGGAATATGATTTAAACAAGCTCTGGGTTTATTGATCAGCGCCTGTAAATTCGGCCTGTGGGACTGAAAAGACACTCAGAAACTATGATGTGCAAAATATGACAGGCAGCTCGCCTTGTTTCAGAACTAGCAGTTTCAGTGCTCAGTGACTATACATGTGGCACAGGTGCTTCTTATGCTACACCATGACAGCAACCCAGGTGTTTGTTTTTTTACTACTGTATGTCTTCATCAATACCATGCGGAGAAGCAGCAAAAAAGCAAACAGAAGGCTTGAGAAAAGCGTGGAATTGAAGCCCGGAAAGGTTTTACTCATGCTTTTTGATGCACAGCATGAAAGTACACAGGAACATAAAAAGAAATGAAAAAAGATACATTTTTAGTGCAAAAGGTGGCTGAAGCTCAAAATCCAGGATCCTTCAAGAACCTGCTGAAGAAATTCTAGGGTCACTTTGTGACTGATCTCCTTGGGGCTTGCACCTCAAGTCCTGAACCCCAGGGCCTGCTACCAGCTTTAACTGAAAACTTTGTCGTTACTGAACAACTGTAAAGTTTAACAGCCTGAAATCGCCAATATTTGTTTTAAATAACTGACCTTAGCGCCACAGAGATATACTGTGAGTTACATCATAAAAACTGCTTAATAAGGTAAATCCCACAACCATTTAAAATCTTACAGATAATATACTATCACTATTAATGATAAGATCTATTCTGATTGCAGAATTTAGCATTTAATGTGTATTTTCTGTAATATATGTTAACGTAAGTGCAGCAATACAACCTTTTTTGTTTAAAATGCAAGTTCGAAATGCAGGGATTCTGTTGCACTCCTGCCTTTGATAACACTGTGATTAAAATCATATTAAATCACTTGCCTCTCCCTCCGTAGTTGTCCCTGAAGACATCTTGCTCACACTGTAGGCCTTTCTCTTGCTCTGTGTGCTGTACACCCTCATAACCCTGCAGTAACAAGAACACTTACAGCTCACTGCATGAATATCAAAGATCCATTGTGGAAAAATTTAGACTTAATCATGAAAACCCCAAATAGCAAATACTCATATAAGGAAACACTTATATAAGGAGAGATGGTTTTTAAAAATTCTCTCAGCTCAGTCTCTTGGAATCAGAATTGACTTCACTTAGTGTTGTAAGCAGCCGTCACAATGGAGAAGCAGACAGCATGTTGACAAGCTGTGCTTTCTCAGTTTCACTCCACACTGTGTTTTTCTCTGGACACACAAAAGCAATGGCAGTACCTGTCACAGCTCATGGTGGTAATGTACTGCCCTTGAGGATCCCAGGCAACACCCTGCACATAGCTCTTGTGATCGTTAAATATGGACATCTTCTGCCCTGAAAGAACAGTACAAGGAGAGTCAGATAGCAAAACTGGTTTCACACATTTGTGCTGTCTTAAATGAACAATAAAAGAGCAATCCTGGAGAACACATGACTGGCACAACTGCATTTAAACCGGTCTTTGCTCTGAAAGTCAGCAGATCAGAACAGGAGGATGACAACATTCTCTGTGAAAGTCCAGACTATAAAGGTGTACAAAGAAAGGATGCAGCTAAAAGTTAATGCTTGTGTGAGTGTCTATTACAAATCGGAGTGAGATTTGCACCTCCCAGGTGAGGCATAGTTTTGAAGGAGTGGGTGGTCAAGCAGGAAGGAGCAAGGGAAGTGGCCAGGTCCCACTGCTGGTGATCAAGTTAAAATATCTGATCCTGGAGGGTTCAAATGCATCCTTCAAGGTTTCTTCTGAAACTATGTATTGATCACGGGCAGAGAGAAGGTGCCCTTCGGCTTGACGACAACAGCCTTAATGATGCCGACAGATGTCTAAACAGAAAACATATCCCACTTCAAAACCTAAAAAATAAAATTTACAGAAGGGTTCCTTTGCATGTTTTTTTTGTGGGTAAGCAGTTTGCTTTTTTTTGAATCCCCCCATTGTCTGATGCTGTGTCCTTAGTGACTGAACACTGGTTGGAACAGTACTGTCTACCTGCAGATGTGCGGTACTGTTCTACTGATCTCCAGTGCATGTTGTGGCGTGAAAAAGGACAGGTTTTTAAAGGAAGATCTGTATAAATCATTCATATGCTTCTGCTTTGGTTTTGGAAGACTTTGTAGGGGTGGGCTGTATTTTGTTCCTTTTTAGGTAACACTTTCTCGTACTTTGTGTATGAAGCTGCTCACAGTGGTAAAGCTGGCACTTTCAGTAATGTTCTGAGAGATGTTTTGAATATTAAAACAATGATTAAACATTTTCAATGTAAACTATGACTATAAATCCTACATTATTAGTATGCTCATAAATAATATCCATACTAGGTATTGCGTTGGCATTGCACAGAAACATTCTGAAGGCAAGATTAAAAGCAGCCTGTGTCATTTAATTAAAAATTGAAAACCATTATCTTTTATTATGTTTAATTTTGCCTGCTACTGTATTAATGCTGTAATGCTGCTGTTTATCCAGGCTTTCCCGTTCTCTTTTATGACCCCCGAGGCAGTGAAGAGGCAGAAGTGTGCTTCCTTCCCACACCACTGTATGTATTCAGAGAAGTTTTACCTTTATTGACATCCCACATGATAGCAGTGTTGTCCACAGACCCAGACACCAAGAAGTTCCCGTCGGTTGTCCATGAGAGATCATAGACATCTTCTATGTGTCCCCTATAGCATTTTTTTAAAAAAGATTGAAATAAAATAACTTAAAGGGTTGTCATTGTTTTTCTCTTCACTTCCTAGGCCAGAGACTGAAAGCTCTTGTCCTATGTGTCAAAGTTGCACCACATCTAAAATCTCAATCACTGAACTTTATTGAGCTAGATAAACCCCGACTGGGGTTTCACGAGTATGCCACTTTAGCAACAGAGCTCTTGATGGTCTTCAACTCGTTTAACAGCACTCCCTCAGTTTTCGTTAGTATGGCTCCCACAAGCTATCAGTCCCACTAAACAGATTATGCAGAAAAGTGAGACACTGCTTCACCAGTTGAATTTAAGTGTGAAATTCAAGAAGCCCAGACTGTGCAAGTCCAGAGATTACTTTAGCCAGGACGCCTGGGTTAATACCAGTCCTCTTACAAACAGGTACCACGGTTTCTTTAATAATCAAGTAGTCAGCATCTCAATTTAATTTATGAACTGAAGGACGGCCCTTACAATAGCACAGTGCCTGCTGCCACCATACTAACATACTGGGCCATTGTGTTCCACAGGGAAGAGCTCCACCTGCTGGTACTCCAACACCACTTCCAGGAGCGACCTGGATTTCCTTAGGTCAGACTTGTTTTTGCTCCAGACACGTCCAAGGCCCGGATTAAGATGATGCTACACTGCTGGGGTTCCCTGACCCTCACCTCAGCGTTTTCACCACGGTCCAGCACTCCTTGTTCAGCTGAGCGTCCTCCTCCTCCTGAAAAGCTGCCTGTTCCGGCTCCTTACTGTCATTGATCTTCCACAGCAAGATCGCAGCATCTGAAACCGGTATCCGCAGGTCAGCACACCACTGTGTGTGTATGGAGCTCTACATTTCAAGAGCATTTAGCAAAAAATAAAAAGACTCTTACAAAATTACAAAACTATTGCTCACCATCTCCTGCGGACGCCAGGAGTTCAGTGCTGGGTGAGAACCGAACCACATTTACTGCCTTAGTGTGTCGCGCAAGATTAGACAGAAACTCCACGATGGCCTTTCCATCCGGTCCCTTCTCCACCTTCCACATCTGTGTGAGCACAGGACAGCAGTTACACAACCTGCAGGCCCTTTCAAGCCGGGCAATGACACAGTGGCAACAGGCGGACAGTGGTACAAACTGCCCAAGTCCGTTGGCGTACTAGATCATCACAGTCACTTCCTCAACAGTCTTCTACAGATGCACACTCAAGACTAATTTACATTAACTGGCTCTTCAATAATCAATACCTATCAGCCACTTACAGTTAGTGGGCCCCAAGATGTGGGAACACTGTGAAATCATATACTGTAGCACATGATACAAAAGCAACCTAAAACAAACCTCCACCCTTTATTTTAACTTGCACTTTCCCATTCAAACAGTATTGATGCAAATAAGTGCACAGAATAAAGAACCACACTATTATAATACCAAGACCCGGACAGGTATTAAACATGGCAGTAAACTGTATGGAGCTATAACGGGAAAGTACAAACAGGGACAACTATACACGGAGGACATTCAAGAGTACAAACTGGCGACATACAAGGCTGGTGTAAAATGAGAACAATGTCAAAAGTACTAGAGCTGAAGACCAAAATGTCATTTTCTTGATGCGTTTATTTATTTGAACCCACGCAGAATTAAAGTGGGCCACTAGTCTCTGATCAACCCCCTGTCCACCGAGTACAATTAGGCTGCTGAAGGAACTTCTAGTTCCAAGCTAACATTCTGGTAAACTGAAAGCACAAAAAGCCCAATAACTGCATAGCTACACGATACCTCCGCTCCCTCATAACACAAAACCTCTCTACACCACCTTGAACAAAAGAGATTCCTAAACTAGCTGCCCCGCATCACACAACCTCTCCAGCAGCTCCCCCTCTTGGGGAAGTGAAAGAGCACTGGTCTACGGGTCACTTGCCCGAACAGTAGTGTCCACTCCTGCGGTGGCCAGCCTGTTGACTTTCCGATCTCCGCCATGCTGGAAGTCAATGCTGTACACTGGTTCCTTGTTGTGCCAGGCTATTTCACAAGTGATGACTTTCATCCTGGACCGCACCTATAAGACAAGCTGCGGTGAGCACAGGTGGCGACGCAGAAGAACCAGCTTCAGATCTCCTCCCCGTGCAGACTTGAAACCCAGAGCAGGGAGATGGTCAGACACCTGACCATGTCGCTGCTGTCCTGTGTTAGGCACTGCACTTAACACAGAATTATGCAGATGTGTTGCTATGGCGTTGCAGACAGTTTTAATCTGGCAACACTCCACACTGAACCTTGCTTTTTTTTAAGGAGTAAAGCACAAGCTGACGGATTAAGCAGCTTGGTGCACTCTGCTGATCCCAGGTTGGCTGTGACAAAACCGTTGGGGTGCTTTAATTCCTAGCAAAAGGGAACCCGTGGCAAAAACCTGCCTTCTCCATTGTCTCACCCTCCAAGAGACTGAGCCCAAATAAGCTTTCATTATAAGTGTCTGCCAGCTGGAGACGAGACAAGCTGCTTCTGTTACTCTTAAGCACAAATTACATTTTGTGTATGGAGCTGGTGAGGCTAATGAACTCAAAGATTCTGTTTTTCAAAGACAACCTGACATGAAAATGAAAATGTATTAATAAACTACTCAATTTCTACAGCGCAACAGGCTTACTGCTCTGTTGCTGAATTTCTGAATACTCTGTTTGAATTGATGTGGTTTAAAAGAAGGATAAGGGATAGGTAGTTTAAAAGCCTTCTACGGTCAGGTACTAGTTACTAAGGCCTAAATAATTCGCAAAAACATAGTCCAATGGGATTCTAATTTGTGTGTCACTACTTCCTAACAACCCATACCTGGGAAAAAAAAAGAAAAAAAATGGTAAATGCAATAATTGTGTCAGTCCGTACAAGTGAATACTAAAATACAGCACTACAATAGCAACAATAAGTGGTTGAGACATTTGCCAAGAAATCAAATACAACTCCAGCAGAAGAAGAGAGGCTGTGATCTCCCATTATGTCACAGATAACCTGTCCACAGTTCAGAGAAGCAGCCACTTTTACAGCAAACCGAGCACGGTGAGGGATTTCGATACGTTCAGCGACCGATAACTTCAAAACCTTACAGGAAACATACTCTCTTTCACACAGACAGAACCTGCTATGAGCACTGCAGATAGATGTTCGGCCTGTTATTCACAGCATTATCTCGCTATATGAGATGTACAGTCCTAAAAAAAAAAAACTCAAAACAAAAAAAAACTGATCAGTGAAAATACGACACGCAAAAGTTTGGAAAATTAAAACAAGTTTTTCAAAAGCTTTCAGAAGGTCACGTTTCTTATTTAAATCATATTCACTCTGTATTTGACCGGTTGTTTCTGAAGTGACTAGTGAGACGTAAACAGTTACATTCTAAAAGTTTTTTGTCCCAACCGGCTCTTGAGTGGCGAAATATATATATGTGTGTGTGTGTGTGTACACCTGTACTTTCCCTATGCACGGTTCAGTATATTTAAAACGCGTTTAAAAAAAGTAAAAAGAAAAGATGCCAAACTTACCAGACTGACAAGCACTCCGCTCACTGTGATCCGCAGTGGCCGAACAGCTGAGTTTCCCGCGCTGCAGTGGGGGAGTTACTCGCCGGGAATCGTGGCCAGAACCGCCTTCATCATCCAACATGGCCGACTGAATTCGGCTCTTTCCGGAGGGTTTACGAGGAGAACCGAATACATTTCGAGGTGTCGAGCTGTAGCTGCAGAGGCATGGATACAGTTTGTGTATTGCAATAGGGGTTGACAAAACGGAGACGTGTAGTTACAGTACTGGGTTTAGCAAATAAACAAGAAGGGTATTATTATAACATTATTAGAAACATCAAATATTTTGTCCAAATAATAAAGTTACTCCTTTAAAAATTAAACACAAAAATAAGTTATATTCTTGACAGTATACTAAGCGCCAAAAGAATGTTGCCCCTCTAGGAATGCATCAATATTTGTAGAAAAATAAAGTAAAAAAAAACTGATGAAGAAATTAGATGTGGTTTCAATGACAGCACAGGCCTTCCTCAGGATCTGCTTGGCATAAAGCAGCCTTAAAAGCTCACCAATCATTTATGGGCTGAGATTTATGACATTTAGAAAGTATTTTTTCTTTTTGAATGTGTGAAGCAAACCAAGAAATATAACAATTAAAAAAATGAACAATAGTAAGTTAAATATTTTCCATTAAAGACCCATAAAATGCTATATACTAGGATACTTTCCAATTCCATCAGAACTTATTTTCTCAGACTATATAAGCACTGCATTTCAGTGAACTTGAATGGCTGTCAAACACAATTCCCAGATATGTGTCACAGTAACTATACCAGTGGATTGTTGTGGGAATTATATTGCTTTGTTTTTGACATATTCATCTCAAGGTAAGAAGTATCATCACACCAACAGACAATTTCATCCAGAATGGCTCCACATGTTTGTCCAGCCACTGAGAGCAAAGAGACTAATACACTAACATCAGCAAACCTGTTGCTTTGATGATTTTCAGTTTCTTTGACAGTCATCAGTATATACAGTAAGATGAAAAGGAGGGAGAAAGATCACAGCCTTGTGTTGAACCAGTGGAGTACAAACAGGGTCAGATGACAAACAACCTATTAAGAAATGCATTTGGTGTTCAATTGGTCAGAATTGTTCAGGTCTATGACTGACAATGACACATACTTTTAAGACCTGACTATTGTACAAGCACTAAATCACCTATTTAGCGAGGAGCTATACAGGTACAGGCGATGAGGTCATTTGATCTGTTGAACGCCAAGCCTGAGGAAATTCAAGAAAAAACACAAAAATGACATGGCCCCTCATCAAGCAAAAACCGACGTTGTGCCCTCGGTCTGGTACAGGCTGGACTAAACCACCACCTCATCACTTGTCAGGTGTTATCAAGGCCCCTGACCGGCATCGACAGGCAGGCCCAACTGTGATGGTCTGGGAAGACAGCCCTGCCCCCTGGCACAAAGCATGCCACAGATCCGCAGCTTATTCTGCTTTCAGCAGTGACCACACACTCCTAGACACAGTTAGCAGTGCTGCCTCAGTGTTGGGGCCCTGGGTTAAGCTCTGGCCCTGCAGTGGTGTGTGCAGTTTATATGTCCCCCCCCCCCCGAGTTCGCATGGTTTTCCCCCCACAGTCCAAAGATATACTGGTAAGTAAATTGGCCTCAGGTGCAAGAGTATCTGTACATCTGCCCTGTGCTGGACTGGCAGGTCCAGTGTACTCCACCTTGCGGCCTTCGCTGGCTAGGCTTGGCTTTAGCTGCCCTGCATCACTGACTTGGACGAAGCCATTAGAAAATGGTTGGAGGTCTGTGCAAAAAAAAATATCAGTGCACCTGTTAGAGAGTCACTTTGCATGTAACGGTGTGAATGTCTTGCAGTTACAACTGATGTCCTGTTTGAGGCTCAGGAGATGTAGCAGGAGGAAGACAAAATGAAAACGATTATTAAGAGGTTGCAGAAGTTTCCTTTAATATGGAAATACTCTTTCCTTCCAAAAGACAGGAAGATTTTTTAATTTCTAACCACCGTTGTTAACAGTCAGGAAACAGCGGGATGGGGCTGAAGGATATTGACCCGATACAGTTGTCCTCAATGTCTTCCCAGAGAAGGCAGAGGTACAGTACAAGACAGGAGGAAGCTACAGGACAAGAAGAAGCTACAGCACCAACGCAAAATGGCAGTTTATTTAAAAAAAAAACATAAAAAATAAATTTACATACAATCTGAAAAATGAAGTGTCAATCATTTCACTGTGGCAACAACTTTTAACCTTTTTTATTCCATTATTGCTTTACATATATTTTGGTTTCTAATCAAACAAGTTTTGTCCATTTGTCCAAAAAAAGTCACTGCATTATACATCTGTTATCCTTCCCCCAGGATCAAGTACAAAAAAAAGGTAAAAAAACAAAAAGAAAAATCAAAAGGAAATAAGAAATTTGTTGTACCAACTTCTTTGCTGGTAAATTGCATATAGTCCCTACAACAGCTGTTTAGACAATACCATAGTACTTATGTTAATATACATAATATTTCACAAAAATAAGCACTGGTTCCTGCAGTTAGTTCATCTGGAGTCTTACCTAATGTTCTGCTCTCATCACAGAACGCAACTAATGGAGAAAGATGAAGGGGCACTTGAGCCCAGGTGGAAATTGTCTGACTGGAAATTCTCTTCTTCGTAGAACAGAAACCCAATCGCAACATTTAAACCTGTACGAGTGCGTGTCGCAGCAGCTGTTTGCTCCAAATCTCGTTGAGAACCCGTGGACACACAAGGCTCAGGTACGAAGGGAAGACTTAGCGAAACACTTCAAAGGAGCACCCCGGCATATCATCCCGAAAACACTGCAACTCTTACTAAAGCAAAGCTTCCAGCTCTATCCATATATTTAAGGAAATAATTTAACAAGGACCATGTAGTTCTCATTTTCTGTACAAAGATACAGGAGTTCATTTCATTTACAAGTTGACTTGAATATGCACAAAATAAGCAGCTTTTTTTGCCACGTTACAAATCCAGGTGAGAGATTACACGGAAATAAAATGGTACTTTATGATAAATGTGTTCTCTAAGCAGTGTGTGTACATGGAGACGATGCATGATACGAGAGAGTAAGACAACAGTTTCAAACTGCCACAGAGCCCTTGTGGGTGGAGTGCTGTGCTCTTGGCCCACATAAGATGTCCAGCACAGTCATTTATATGCAGGGATTGAGCTACAAAGCAGACGCTGGACAGCAAGTCTGGCTTCAGGCACATTAAGCAGGGTCCCAGGACAGGAGTCCAGTATTGCAGTAGAAACAGGAAATATGTCTCTGCTCCAAAATGCAGGGACCCATGGAAAAGGGGAAATGGGAATCGTACCGTACCAATTGTACCGTAAAAGCATTACCCAAGAAAGGTCCAACTCCCTGACCCTTTCAATTCCATCCTCTTGCCTGATCCCACCTCATGTCGCTCCCACAGCTGTGCAAAAGCCATACAAGCAGACTGTGGTAGCTTGCTTTAATACGGCAATATTCTCTCCCTCCAGACTTGCGGCAATCGGAAACAAAATCGACAGACTGTGCCAAAGTGTTGTTTAGTCTGTGCAATTTTTGTGCTTTTACAACTGTTGCGAATACATAAAAACGGTCGCAGAAGAAGAAAATGAATAAAATGAAGATTAAGTCAGGAGTCTTTAATAACTACACTTGAAAGCATGAATTGGTGTTTAGACCTTGGAAATACCAGGCTGACAAAACATCAGAGCTGACTGGTTGAATGTTAACAGCTTAAAATGAAGGATGCCAAAATTTGATTAACAGCGTCCATTATTTTCCTAGTAAGAAAATGCACATTCGGAGTTCTTGATTCAGACGTCAAAAAATGAGGTAAAAGCAGGATGCACAGAACTCCCCACAGAGAGCAAATCGAAACGAAGCTGTCCGCTTCCTTGCACAAGGCTGACCGGGGGTGATCGGCACCAGCAGAGAGCTACGTCGAGCTGCACAACGTGACTTGATCCAGAACCTGATCCAAGATCTCGTCAATGACGTCGCTCTCGTAGTTCACTTGCTCCAGGTCCAGAGCCGGGACGAAGGTCACTAGCAGCTTTCCGATGCTCATCCGAAGAGATCTAAGTCTCCTGTGGGAGCAGGGAATAGAAGGTCTTTAGAAAACAATTAACGGCAATAATAAAAGTGTTGTAAAGCGTTGTCGCTGATAGGTGCCATTAATCACCTGAGAGAGATAATAAACCTGTCAGCTTTAATCAGATTGTATTATTACAGCAACGATCCAATATCTCCAGTGGTTTCCCAATGTTCTGCAGATCCCAGAGCAGGACGAATCTCAGGGAGGACCTTGCTACCCTAGGAGCAGAATGAGAGTCTCTCCTCTTGGAGTGGAGCACCACACCCTGGAGCTAGACCAGCCTCCTCTAGTGCAGCCACACCTAGGTCCATCACACTTAAGTCCAGGAGGGACTTCAGGACTTTCATTCCCCTCTATCCCTCATTTACTCAATTACCTTATTAACTACACAACACTGTTTCAGCAGCATTCAAAGAAAACAGAGTCTGTGCAGCTCAGACGACAGTTAGATCAATTCAGCCTTGAGTAGAGGGATAGTAACGAATACAGATCCATTAAGGAAATGAGCTTGGTCCCTCAGTGCTGCAGAAAAGACTTTCTTTGCAAAGTGGCGATGAAGGGGGGCGGGCTAGAACTTGCCTAATTCTCTGTGAAGCTGGGTATCAGAACAGGCCTTAAAAAATAAAGAATGCAAGCTACTAGTCCCAAGTAGTCTCAAACTGGGTGTCAAATATTTAATACTCCCTTAACAAAAAGGCATGGACTGAAAGGTTAATTAATCAAGACTGAAGACCAGGGTCCAGACGTCTTACCAGCTGTCTTCTGCAGATGGGCTTGGCTCTCCATCCGTGCTGGAACTGCAGGCTCCGTTCTCTGCCTGTCTCTCCATTTTACAGGTCAGGTCATCGACGGCCTTCTTCAGCTCTTCACGCTCCGACAAGATCCTGGCTTTCTCCGTCTCCAGCACCTCGACCTAAAAAGAGTGGGGACGTGATGAAGAAGATCGCCGACTGTAAAACAAAATCCCAGTCCGACAACTAAACTGCATCTAATAAATTCCGGATATTTTCAAAAATGTATTTTACAAAACCCCCCCTTTTTTTAAATCAGTGTACTTGTGTATAACATTCCTTTTCATATGGGCAAAGGAGCCAAAACCCATTGGCTGAAGGTGCAAGGACATGTATTTTCACATGCAATAGAGCCAGGGCTGGAGTGAGGGGTCTGCAGTCGGTTATCATTAAACAAATGAACAAAATTAATCTAAAATAAAACTATTTTACACAAACGATTTTTGTTTATCACAAAGTACACATTTCCAATAAAGTTCTAATTGATAAGGGCATTGGACTGGGCTCATACCTCAAGTCACATTATTCTTACTATCCTGCCTCTCGACTTTGAAATGACTCGGTGTGGAATAAAATAGTTTTTTTTAACTGTATTGCTGTTTTGAATGAGTTGAAAAGGGCATGTGCGGTTTTAGTCTAAACAGAAGAACTTTGTAACTCCTGACATTCCAAATTATTATTATTTAAACATTATTTAAAATGATACCTTCTTCTCATCATGAACCAAGATGCTTTATTTTCCAAGAATAGAAGGTGCTACAACATCCTAATGTGGTACTTACCTTCCTCTTGTATTCGTCTCTCTCTCCTCCACACCTGTCCAGGTCTCTGAGGAGGGAATCCACCTGCAGAATCAGGTCGTCGTCATTTGGGCTTGAACAGTCACTACAAGCGGATTTTGTGGCCTGCAGGGTGTCCCACTTCTTTCTGAGCTCCTGCAGTTCCTTCTGGAGCTGCTCATAGTCCCTCTGCAGCTCCCCGAGGCCCGCCTGACACGAATCGGAGCCGGGTGCTGGCGTCACGCCCCCGCCCACTCCCTGCCAGTCAGTCTCCGTGGCCTGATGGCACACCTCCTTCTTCATGAGCTTCTGCGTCAGCTCCTGCACCTCCTTCTCTAAATCCACCACCTGGCAGGTCAGCTTGTGGGTCTCGTCTTTGTAGGCGTCCCGCTCCTTGGCGGTGGTGTGCATCAGTCCCATCAGCTCGTCCTGCTGCGCCTGGGCCCGCGCGAGCTCGCCCTGCAGTCTCGCCACCGAGTCGCTCGCCGGCCCCTCCCCCTGCGGCTTCCCCGCGACCGCCACCCCCCCGGGGGGGTGGTCCGGCTGCTTCAAGACGGGCTTGACGTCAGTCTGGGTTTCCGCAGACTGCCTGTCGCCGAGAGGGGCTGGGGAGGTCGAGGGGGCGGCTGCTGGCGTTTCAGTGGGGGACTCCGGGGCGGCGTCACTGCTGCACTCCATACGCATGCCCGTCTGCTCCGTGCTGCTCCGGCGCTCCACTTTGACCTTGGCGAGGTCAAACGCAGTCTTTGGCTTCGGGGTACTCTTATCTTCGACGATAACAAGATCCATGTCAACGTCGCCAGGCTCCGCACTCACTGCTCCATTGTGCACGCCATTCGTCTTGGGCTTCTTCACTTCTGAGCTGCTTGGTTCCAAAGGCAAAGTGCGCTTTGTCCTGAAAGGAAGAGATATATTTCCGTGCTGAGGTGACATTATCAAGAATTCAGTTCTGCTCTTGAACAGACCCAATTACAGCATTCACAGTGAATATGAATGCTGTATGAATATAGATTTGGGCACACACCGTTTTACAGTACAAAATACTTTGCAAAACAAAAACACAGGAAAGGTCATAAATTAAAGGAAGTAATTTTGGAAGGAAGTCCACCTTCCTCATTTGGCTATATGTAGGTGATTGTGCCACGTACTTCCAACTGTTTTCTCAAGAATCAGCTTTGACAACATGATGGCTCAGGCTGTCCCAGACACCCACATCCGTAAAACTGGCATAAAGAGGACACGAACCCATGAGTGTGGATTCTACAAGTCCATACTCTGATCCTGTTGGTGCCATGCCCACTGTCGAGACTAAATATACCCAAGAAAACATAAAGAGTGTGCAACTATCACACAGGGACAAGTAGCTCAGCTCCTCTAATTAAGCACTAATCAAGTTCATTCACTTGATGTGATAATGAGCAACTCAGTTCAAACATTAGGTGAAAAAGAAACACGACAATGTTGTAAACCTTGAGGGCTGGACTTGGTCTTGCCAAGTATAAGTAAACCACAGAGAGGCTTTGTCTAACAACACTGTTATTATTTAGAAACATACTCCAAAATCAAGGTTACTGAGCGCTTCTAGAATCAACATTTTTAACATGTCCAAGCTACGAAGTAGGGCTGCTAATCTGAGGGAGCCCACAAGAAGCAGCACATGATCCCTGCCCATTCCCCAGCAAGTTCAACCTCTCTTGTTCTCCCACACCTTGCTCCCTCAGAAGACAGCGAGCGTACATTCGTGATCATCGGCATCCCGTTGTTCCTGGCGGGAGGCGTTGCTGGTGGAGAGGACACCTGGTGTGGAAGAGTCACCTGGAAGTTCTGAGGGAACAAAAAAAACAAACAATCTTGGACCAATCCTGCATTGGATTCACTCGGGGAAAACCAGCAATGTCTCTTGGATCAGACAGGCAATAAAATGGCACTCTTGGAGGGGCTCATCTCAGATCGGTAAATCTTTTTAATCACAACGTTCTAGAGGAGTGGATATGTTAGAAGTGCGACAAACGGATGTGGGAAATAAATGCATCTTCATATATAAAAATGATCAAAATTAGATTTTATATGTTATATTAGCTAGAGATCACCTCATCTAGAGTTACACTTATGTTCTACGTTAGAGATTTCGAAATCCAGTATCAATATTTTCTTTTGCCATTTATTCTTATTCAGATTATACAGGGAGATTTTTCTTATATTAGTCATTACCTTACACAATGACTAATCAAGACCTATTTAGTCATAATGACAAAACCAAAGAACAATGAAGCTAATAAGAGACTAACAAGCACTTCTTCAATTAATGGCTGTCTGGAAGCCATCGAATTTGGCCATTATTACAGGTATCATATAGTTTGAGTGGGGAAACACTTATGACTTTGAATGTGGCATTAAGTCTCACTTACCCCAGCATATCTATAAGGAAGCACCACGATCTCATTTTCTGGTCTGGAAACATTGAGTTCCTATTACCCCAGAGAAGAACAAGCCAAGTGTCTAACCTCTTCTCTTCCTCATGTCCTGTCTTTAGGTACAGTTTCTAGGTCCTTCAGCTGACGGTTTAGGTTCCCTGACTGTCACCCACTATTCAGAGAGGCAGTCCCACTTCATCAGTTAACCACTCACATTTTCACGGAGCTGTCGCTTCAAGACTTCGTGGTCCTTCTGAAGCTGCTTCTCTATCTTGCTGTACATAATCTGCATTTCTGCTTTTCTCTTCTCCTCTTCCTGCTGCTAGGAGAAATCAGATGTGACCTGACAAATTCTTGGCAATATCAGGGATGCAGACTCCAAACACAGCAACTGAGACAAATGGGGTTAACTTATCCTATCCCACAGAACAGGGCCCAAGTTAACTAAACTGCTCATTGATGAGTCCCCAAACACAACTGCAAGAGGACTAAAGATTAAGGTGATTTCACCTCTTAAATCTTATTTTAAAAAAGCTGCAATCAGACTAGGCCAGAAGTATCACATTTACATTCATCTTTCCATAGTTCAACAAAAATGAGTCTCCATCTCAATCGCTCAACAGGAGCACAAATATTATCAATGAGAAAAGGCCATCAGTACCAACTGACTGCTAGCAGCTAACTGATCAAATAATCTCCGTATTCTGTGTCTTGATTGAAGCCAGAGTATCAGAATTTTCAGTCCGTCAGTGTAGGATTCTTCTTTGAACCCATGTAATTATGGCAAAACATTATATTTTCTGGCAATGTGGTAACCAAGTTGTATGAATTTGTATACAATACAGCTGTATTATACGCAATGTTCTAAAGCAGATACTTCTTGTGCACTGCACAATTATAGCACATCAACCTTGATTTCAATTCTAAACTTTTAACTATATACTCCAACAATCTACATAACCCAGCCAAGCTCTTCAAAGACAGCAGTGAAACATGAACCAGGCAACACAAGTTGAAACTATAGGAACGTGCATTTTAAAGTGCAAAAGAGGAGAAACGTCTTTACTCAAAGTGCTGTAGGAAGAAAAAACTACTTAGCTATGTTATTAAATGCCGAAACCCTGGATTCTTTCTAGAAACTGCTGGATGAGATTCGGAGGATAAATTACAAAACCAAATGAACTAGAAAACAGATCTGCCTCTTTCTGGCCTTTTTGAGTTCTTCTCAGTTGATTTTGGTGTTGTTCTTCAAGGATTCTGTGCCCCTCTTGTTCCATGTCTGTGCTCAATTGGATTAACTTATTTGTAAAATGCATAATGAATCACAGACATAGATTTTCAGTAGGTATAAAGACCTGTTAACAAGATTACACCAATACTATAGTTACTGCTGAAGCCAAAACACCACACTTCTGGGGACAGCTTTAAAAAAACAACATCAAGTCAGAAGAACTTAAAATTTGAAGGCATGTTAAATCTATGTCCACAAAATAAGTCATTGACTGTTATTATTCTGGTGTGAAATGAGATAATAGAACATAATTCATATCAGAAGTACAAGGGTGAAAACACACATTTTGGAACTGAACTGCTATTAGACCATCCCTACTAAACGTTATACATACCTGCTGTTTAGATTTCTCTTGTCTCATCTTATTATACCTCTCCCTATAACAACAAAGATACAATCAATTAAAAATGAACAATATATTTGAAATTATGAGAAAAGCAAAAAAAAAGCTTTTTATGTTAAATATTTTCTGTTCTTATAAACAGGACTCATCAATCCACTGTATGTGACCATACTTCCTGCATGAGGCAGAAAACGGGCCCCCATATATAAAACATATCCAAAATGACTGGGCCCTTCAGATCATGTATGTGCAAAATGCCCGATTTTCAGAATGTCTTTGGCAAACACCATTGTAATTGCAATGACCCAGCACCACTCAGTAAAAAAAAGATCAGATCTCTTAACTAGATTCATTCTTCATAACCAACCAAAGACATGATGTTCCCCGAGCAACCACTGGACAAATAAAGCAGCACGATTATATCGCCTGACCAAAAGGAGCACACACACACACAAGCGAGATGTTCTTGAATTCCATCTGCATCCGTCCATCCATAACCAAGATGAGTGATCCAATAAAAAACAGGCCTGGTGGGGTCCTGTCTGGCTTCGGAGAGCAGGCTGGGCGATGCAGCCCAGGCACTGCATGCTCGAACCCAGGTTCTCTTATGAGCTGAGCTCTTTGTTGTGCTAACTGTGCTGTGGACTCATAGGGTGGATGGTGGGGGAGGGAGTCTTGTTTTCCCAATCCCTCACGGTCCAGAAACGGGAACACACCAAGACAAAAACCTTTTAATAAGTTCAAATCAAGGCTTACTGTCGCTTGTAGGTTTTGTCATAAGTGGGTTGGGCATCATCATCCTCCGGCTCTTCTTCAACTTGGCAGCTCCTGATGGGGCAGATTTTACCAACGTTTACTACCGAAAGATCTTAGCAAGTTCACAATACAAGAACAGAAGTGTCCTGGACTCCCTGGACATGGCAATAATTAACAGCGGCTCGTTAAAGAGGTTTCGCTGGGAAAACACCTGAATCTGTTTGACATTCTTTGCAGGTGCTGGCGATGTAGCAGAGAGCAGACTGCTGGCTGCCACTCTCAGGTCTTTCCAGTTCCTAAACTCTGACCGATTTGATTTCTGGCTCAGCTGGACACGTAATAGTTCCGTGAATTTTAAATTCATGGAGGCCAGAGACAGGATGCCGCCATGTGCTGTGTCGTGACCACCCACACGCACATTTGTTGCCGTGCAGTGAAGACTAAAGATAAGTACTTTTAAAAAGCAGCCTCTATGATTACAAACCAAGCATCACATGGATAAAGGGAAAAAGGGAAGAACGAGAAAGAGAGAAAGAAAAAGAGAAGGAGACCAGGCTACTACTGATGGCAGTAGAGGAAGAGGTCTGCTGTCAGGGCGAAGGCAGTAATGTGAGCTGGAGTGAACTCGCTGCACAAGGGGGAGGGGGGAGTTCAGCAGGACCCTGCACTGCAGCAGTGAGCCCCAAATCCTGAGGTTACCTGAACTGTGTATCGGGGTTCATCCGGCAGTACCACTTATCGGGGAGGCTGGCAGGGTTGATGCCATCTGGAAGCTTCCTCCACTTCAGACACTCGTCGCACTGCACCCAGTTCTGATCCGGCCGCTTCCTGGAAGAGACGCCGCACCTGGAGGTCAGGACACAGCCCCCTGCCCCTGCCACGCCCCGGTTCTCCCTTCCCATTGGAAAGACATTACTAGGATTGCTGGATTAGGCCTTATATCTCTTAGCAGGAACATTACGCCATCTGTCTGTGCAGTAAAAAAATATCCTGCTAGCGTCTTTTCTCCTTTACTACACACTCCAAATATAAAACAGAATGCTATACTTCTGGCATTCTCAATACAATATAATAATAACCTATTTCATATAGTGCCTTTTAAGTGCTTTGAGAAGCCTCATTTATGCATTTACAATATTATTTTTCCCCATTACTCTCTATAAGAAGAGGGGATATAGTAAGAATACGAGGGTACGCAATTCAAATTGTCAAAGTCTTTGAAAGGATCATGAATTAGTCAATCCAGTGTACTTTCTCAGAATTAAGTAAGGAACCCACACCAGAGGGTTCAAGTGGAAACTACTTGGAAGTGAAGTTAGAACTGAAAATACTGTCGTGAAAAGCTTTCTGGGATTCAAACAAGCTACCAAGCCCTGTTGGTGAATCCAATTCACTGTATTCTTTCTTGGATCAATTTGTTACTAATTACCAAACATGTTAGTTGGGACAAATGACCACTTTGTAGCCTGACAAATGACAACAAAACAAGGCATTACTGTACTGCTAAAGAATTTGGAAAAACAATTAAAAAAAACTTGTGGAACTGATTCTCTCCAACATCACAGATGTCTCAAGTTTGAGTTAAAAAATAATATGAACAAAATCAATTAATCACATACAAATGGACAGGTGGGTATGACAATCCCATTGAGTGTAGTTATTGTCCTATACTCATCGTCATGCATCAAATAATCCAAAGACTTCTTTCTTCGCTGAGATCCAAAACCCTATCAGGAGCTTGAATCTAGGTGGTACTATACACCATTATTGAGTGTCATAGCTGCTAAGCAAATGATTACTTCTTAATACAAACTGAAACTGATACTTACTCTGTGTCTTCAACTGGCACAGTATTGTTAGGATCATCTTTAGTGCGTTTGTATCGTATTTCATTCCAATACTCTGCTAGTTTTATGCCCAAATTATAGATTGTTTTCCTGGAACACAAAAGGAATAAATGAATGAAAAGTTACAGATGGTATAGAACTTTTCACAGCGCTCTGGCCAGGTAAAGGTTATCCAACATCCCAAAGCAGACAATAAGTGCATGCTGTGTGGAAGTAAGACAACTAAATACACTGACATCTAACCCTAAACAAGTACACAGTGCACTCTATCCAAAATGTCAATGTTACACATTTTCTTTTCCCCATGCAGCTCAGATTTTCCAACGATAATAAACATGCATAGAACTGTGACTACATGGAAGTGCATTTAAAAAATCGAGAAGAGGAGACATTTCTTTATGCAAAAGGTTTTGAAAATCTAGAACAAGCCAACCCGCTATCGTACTGAAGCCAATACCCTGGCTTCTTTCAATAAATAGTATGATGAGATCCTTGGATCAGTTAGCTAACACCTGCATGGGCTGAATGGCTACTTGCATCACTAGCCTTTATGATCATCTTGCATACATGTGCTTAAGTAATACAACAGTGCAGAATTAGATACAGGAAATTAAAATAATCACACATGTATTAAGCCCTCTCTTAGGGCTATGTGCCAAGAGTTGAGCTGTTTTCCCCCCACTGTTGGACAGATGTCTAAATGACACAGCAAGCCAATGTAATTACTCAATGCAAACCTGAGTCAGCATAAAGGTAGAACTGAGCAGCCAGACCTTTAAAGGCAAGTGATGACGCCGGTCTCACCCGGAAGGTGAGCAGTATAGCCAAATTCTGATACCTGGACATTGCTCCTAGCTTTTACACTTCAGTAGGAGGACAGAAACGTCCTGGAGTGTCAGTAGTGCCAAGCAGAAAGCACTCAATTCAATGCATTTCTTAGCTTGGTTTAACATAACTATATCAGAGTTCTGTGTATGGGACCAAATACTTTTAGGAAATCATGAACAGCGTAAGGAAAAATAACTCCAGTATTTACCTGTATTCATCAGTGTAGTCAAAATCTTGTTTATTGTGAGTAGGCTTCAGAAAGTTGCACTCAATCACTCCAACTACCCCCACGCCCATGTTGTTTGCCTGCACGAACAGGGGAAGACACAGGGCGATGAAGAACAGTGACAGGCAGCAGTTGCCGGAGAGGCTTGAGGGCGAGATTTAGACCAGGACTCAACTTAAGCACACTGTGGATACGTTCAAGCAGGGAGCTCAGCATGCATGTGCTGCAAAGGGGCAGGTAAAGGCCTATTCCATGTTGAAAGGAAAAGTGACCAGGTTTGGAGCCTTCTCCATGGCCGAAATGTGTCTCTTTTCTTTTCAGCATGGTATAAACCTTTATCTGTCACACTGTGGAAAGCAAACATGAACCCCAACAGTCTAGCAAGTTGGAAGCCATCCTCCAGTGCTGGGCCAGGAACTTCCAAGAGAGCAGGCCTTACAGCAGCAACAAACGAATCCTGTTTTTAACCAGCTCTGACTTGCATTAGCCCCTTGTCGTCCTTGATTTTACACTTGGATATGACAAGAGCAGCAGATTTCTATGGGAACCCTACAGGCTCGATTCTTTTTCCAAGCTCCAGTGATCAGCTTGCTGTGCGAGGGCTGCGCATTGGTTCTTTTGGACCCAAGAAACGTTTCTGTTAAAGCTTGAAATGTAAACAATAAAACACATCTCCAGGAACCGGTGGCAAGACATTTATTTACCTTGAGCTGGCAGCCCACTCTCTCGTACGCTTTAATGAGTCGGTTTTTGTGGTACATCAGTATTCCGTACTGCTCCTTGCTCTTTGTGTTGTATCCAAAAGTGATCCGGACACTTTTATTATTCTGAAGTTGGGAGTTCAGGAAAAGAAGTCAGTCTGTTCACATTGTTGTGAGGCAATAACAGACAACTGAATATCTTACAACATCTTCTGTGCAAGTGACTGCACTTCAGTGTCAGGTACTGAAGACACCAGATCACAGTGGCTTCAGATGAAGAGCCAAGTTTTGTAAAAGAACGGCATCTTTGTCCCTTTGCTCAGTGCTATCTAACTCTCAAGCAGTATGCCTGTGTACTTCTATCTAAAACTTATTTGATCACAAATGTTTTTAGCTTGGTTCCCGCTTGGTTCATCCCTAAGAAATGGATGGAATCAGTTTTTGTAACACTGAATCTACACTAACTAAAGCAGTATGCATTAGTTGCCTAAGCCTTTGTTGAAGTGAGCAGTATGTGCAGTAAAGATGATCCAGAGAAAATATTCCTCTATTTCTTTTCTTAATTATATGCACTGTATCATTCTTGACATATCCTACATTATAATGCAGCTGGAAAAGGAGCAGGCTGAAATGTGGATTTGCACTTTGCAAAGGATACCAGAAAGGATGGTTTGTAGTTGTCTTTTGCAATGAATGCAAGACTTTTGGAGATGAGCTGTGTTTTCACTTTTTGTCCTCTCAGAATGACCAGCATTCGAGGTTTAAGGTATAAAATACTGCAATATGCCTAAAAAAAACACAAAGCGGAATAACATCAGGTGCAAAAAAGAACACAAGAACAAAAACAAACTTTTATTAGTCTTAACAGCCTAATATTTATTATACTAGACTGGTGAATTAAGAGGTGAAAAGTTACCAAGTTACTCTGAATGAATAACCTACTGCACAGCCTTCACTGTCAAGGAAATCCGCTTTATGTAGGCCCTACAAGATATGCTTTCTGTGGGCTTCTCTATTTCATCTTAACCATTTGCCTTCCTATTTCTATTTATTGTCAAAGAATGCTGACAACCTCTGGGGTGTTGCATATAAAACATCATGAAATTCTCTATAAAGGTGTCCCCAATGTAATTTTAGCTTTATATTGGTTTAACAACCCACTAGATATCTTGAAGCGATGTATATTTGGGCCAGGACCCCCAGCTTGAGAAAAGCTGCATTGGTAAACACATGTGTGATGGTCTTACTCACCCGTAACGAGTAGTCACTCTCTGGCACCGACTGCTCGTGTCGCTCCTGTTTTTTATACTTCTCACTGGAATTGTCCAACACGTCCGCAGGAATCCGGATATCGTACTTATCCGTGTCAAAATCAAACTCCATCTTCCCATTGGACATCCTGCAAAGCGATGCAAGCGTACCATGAATGTCCCGCATCACTTCAACCTACCAGGTTGCAGGCAGAGGTGCGTTTGCACGCTTGTAACTGCCTGGTAAGCTTTTGAGGAAACCTCCGGGACGCCAGTTTCACCAGCTCTCATACTGTTTCACCCTGTGCGGGCGACGGCTGCTCAGAGACGTACTTCCTTAAGTTCCAGATGATGATTCTTGTTCCGTGCTTTCCCATGACGGCGTCAAGCTCCGCCGTGAGCTCCCTCTCGGTTCTGAAAAGGGAGTGTTGGAGAATGGCGTCCAGGCTGGCCCTGGAGTCCTGGGTCACCAGGCGTAAGGGCTGGGGTTAAGGACAATATCCCGGACAAACAGCAGAAGCAACACGTGGAGAAGACTCAACCGTTCCTGTGCAGTTGTTATTCCAAAATGTTAGCTTTTAATCACCTGTTATTTCGCTGCTTAAGTCACTTACGAATACATTATTTAACATTGACCACTGTAAAAACACTGTACATAAAACACAGAAGGGACAGCAGTGAAGTGTAAATAAGGTAACAGAACACGGCAGTATTCATTTTTAAAAATGATATTTTCCAGCCTTGACCTTATCTGTCCTTGTACAGCCTAAACTTCAGATAACGATGAAACTCTCCATGAAGCGTAACCTGGTGTAGAAAAGATGAATTCCCCCACACGATTTGGTTTTAGCTCCAGTCAGAATGGGCGCACAGCCACCTGAGGAGTCAGCCAAGACGCACAGGAAAGGATATGTCTATTCTGACAGAAGGTCACGATCGGAACAACGATGTTCTCGGCCTTGGTGGCCTCCAAGAAGGTCTGCGACAGAAGGCCGATGCTCATCGTTTTGCCATTCTTGGTGAACACAAGGGCATCTTTGCCCAGGCGCATCGATCCCGACTTAAACCCATTTCCATACATCCCAACTGGGACGTGTCCGTTTATTGCCTGCTTGTCGCTGAAGCCAAAACTACACAGAGTCAAAAAAAAACATCTTTTAAGCCTGTTCACCACACGAAGATGACATAACAGAAGATAAAAATGTGGAATCTTTCCTACACGACAGATCGGAAAACAACCAGTTTGACGTGCAGGGTTTCTTCTGAGGAATTGTTTCTCCCTGAAGGGAGCAGTATTTTGTACAAGCTAAATAAAAGCCAGACGTACTAAACATTTGATTTTTAACAGTGTCACCAACCTCAGCATTTTATGAATTGTGTCATGGCTCATTCCGTTTCCATTGTCCGTGAACGTCAAACATTCCATTTCCTTGATCAGAGTCTTGTCAATCCAGAACTGCTTGGCATTCACATCTGGATCATAGGCATTATCTGAAACAGACCACCTCGTAAGAATTACTAACTTCTTACACACCGTGGCAGTGACAAATGATTTCGGCACCTCTAACCTTCACTGCCCTGCAGATCAGAGGATTTAAGAAACTGCTTCACCAGCTGAATTGAGAAGGAACTTAGGAAAGCCAGATTCTGCAAGCCTAAAGTAGAATTTAGACAAGATCCCAAGTGTAACACCTCTAATATTAAAAACAATGTTCTGGGATCTGGAAAGACCAAATCAGTTTACGATCTCATCCTATGGACAGAATCTCTTACAATTCAGTGTTCCTGGCTGGCATACAGGAGCACTGGTTAGGAATGCCTGGTCCAGAGAGAAGAGAGCCACTTACTGGTCACCAACACCATTTACGGCAGCAACCTGGGCTACCTTAGAGATCTCCCATTCCAGGGCTGACCGAGCTGCAGGGTGGTAATGGTAGTTACTTTTTTAAGGGGACTTATTTGTGATAACTGCTAATTAATGGACAACATCATATGTCAGAAGGCAGGAAATACCAGGCTTGAAAGAAACACTAAGCACATCTATGCTGTAAGTTAGACCACAGAGCACTGAAATCATCTTGTAGTCACGTTGTGAATATCAGATAGCCGTTGCAAGGTAAAGCACATCCCACCTCAATCAACAGGAACACTTAAGGACAGCCATGATTTTATGAAACACAGTATTTCTCAGCAATCCCATTTCCAGCTGTCTGGACACCCTGCTTACAGGTGCAGAGAGGACATGTTCGGTCAGGAGGGAGGCCTTCAACACCTGGGTGCTAGATGACAAAGGCTGAGAAGGGCCAAAGCAAACTTTCAAAACAGACACAAATTCCAAGGAGAGCAAAGGACAGCAACACCTGCTTATCTGGCTAATCCATTGGACTGTGATGTCTGCCCCAGAGGATGTGATGACCCAACACTGCATGAACACATTTTTAAACCCTACTTTTATGACCTTTTTGTGCGTATATTTTTCTCTGATTTTGCTTGAAATGTTACCGATTCACACCTGAGCGAGAGGAGGCACGGTCTTGATGTTCCACCTGAAAGGTAGGATCTATTTTCTCTATATAACATCAGTCAAATCATCATGAAGCGGCCTTGCACTCTCACACAGTTTCTGTCCTGTTGTTTGACTGCTTGTGCTCATTAATGGACTAACTCTGATGTTTGCTTGACATGTTTGCAATGCCTTTTTGTGTTTGACTTTCCCCTTTTCCACTGAATTTATTTTTATTTTTTGTAAATAGGGAAGTGAGAGTAGTAAGATACTTTGCAGAAGACTTTTCTTTTGGGGGAAGTTTGCTTTTTCCCAGGATCGAGTCAGAGTGTGTTGGAGTATGTAGGTTTTTGTTGGGAGAAAGGAAATAAAGGCCTGTGTTTCGTTTGCAAAATCTGTTGTTTCGGCTTTTGTTGCATTTATGAATTTGTAACAGAACCGGGGCTTAGGCCTTAACACTACGTCCAGAACTACAGGACTCAGTAGAAACTAAGGGCAAGGACATTTAAAACCGAGAACTGGAGGCACATCATTACACTAAGCTAAAGCGGAGAATAATAGTGTGTAGCGTGGAATTTGAACCCACAACCTTCCAGTTAAACAAGTCCAAACCCATAACTACTGCCCCACACTGCTGCCCTAGCTGAGACTTATGAGAGTCTGGCACAAACTCCCCAACCACGCCATAAAAGCCAATAACCCAGCTGTAGTTGAGAAACTACTGGACGAGATCCTTGGCTGTCTTGCTACCATAACAAGCCAAATGACCTGCCTTCAAGTTCATAAGTCAGCAAAAATGCAGGCAAACAAACTGCTGTTAATCTACAGTGGTATGAAAAAGTGTTTGCCCCCTTCCTGATTTCTTATTTTTTTTGCATGTTTGTCACACTGAAATGTTTCAGATCAAACAAATTGAAATATTAGACAAAGATAACACAAGTAAACACAAAATGCAGTTTTTAAATGAAGGTTTTTATTATTAAGGGGAAAAAA